CTAGCTTGATCAGCTAGGCAATGAAAATAAAAGAGACATGGAATAGATATTTTAAGCATAATTCAAAAAATATAGCTGTTTTTAAGTAAATATCATTATATCACAACGATTTGAAAATTCAAATTATGCAAATGGGTTAATGATAGTACTCAAAGTGTATATCGTGATCGATTTACGTGTATCTTTTAAATTCGAGGCATGAAAATTAAATATTATTTAACAATTAATTTTTTCATTTGTTTTTATATCAAAATTGTAGCAATTAAGACTTTATATGTTTACAACATATATTTTAACTTTCATATCAATTATGTTGAATCATTCCTTCAATTTCTGGTCGAAGGAGGCTTAATGTTTCAGGCTGAAACCTATTATCATATTAATTTTTAAACATATATAATTCATAAGCTTTTCATAGAATACTGATAAAAGAAAAGGTCTTATTCTCTTTTTTCTGGTTTCAATTTTAAAATGTTTTTAAAAAAAATGTAGTGGTTTTATTGTAAGTTGAAGAAAAAGAAATAAATAATTAACATAATCAAAAGGAAAAAAATCTTCAATTAGAAATAGTATATGAAGTGTGTTATATTGCCGAAGGGTAAGCAATGCATTTTCAATCGCCTGCATTGAACGAAAACCGGAGCTAATATATTTTTTTCCACTATAGAAGAGATACTCTTCTTAGTGCGCTCTTTTGTAAATTGCTGTGGATTTTATATACATCAATAGTAGAAATGACATCGATATCAGTTTATATCTATATTGATAGTATGTATCTATTTATCTGATGGTACCATCTAAATACAATACACATGCTTTTGAACAATACACATGCCTATGAAATGTATTTTTATTAATGGATTATAAATGATTTTTTTGGTTCTCTATTCTTGAATTGGAATTACAGATACATTTAACATTTAAAATTAGAAATGAGTTTGACATCACAGTTTTGCACTATCCGCAAACCATGCTGTCTCAGTCAGACGACCAAACGGGCACATGGTGGATAAAACTTATTGTTGAGAAACTAAATCTCACCGTACTAAACACCTTGATTTGTCAACGGATAAATGCTGTAGACATTACTTATATTGGAAATATTGTTCTAATATGCTTCATTCCATCTGCCTCCTGTTAAGAGTTCTTGATTAACACTTTAGCTTTTTCTAGTAAAGTAACACGTGGCTTAAGAACATATAATGTGATTAACTTTATATTTTTAAAAACATAGACAAGAGCACGTCATAGCTACTTTATTATCAAGTTTTATGAACTTCCACAATAAATTTTAGTTTAAGTTGGCGGTAGAATAATATTGTAGAACTAAATAATAGAGCAACAAGATAAGATGTGTTTCTGAAACATTGTTGCCCTCTAATGGCAGCATTGGGTTGATTAAATTTTACTTTAAGGGACATTAAATATATTGGTAGTCAAATTTGGGTCTTCGCATAAGAAATACAATTGTGAAATAAGAAATCCCTAGCACCACCTGTTCAAAAGTTATGACCAAGGAAAAGTATTTAAAATGTATGTCAAACTCCAAGGCCAAAAGGTAAAAGTAGTCGGTTTTTGAAAAACGTCTTGTCACAAGGATTTCATGGGCGAAGCATGAAAGCCCTAGCCCTTACCGTTCAAAGTTATGGCCAATGTTTAAGTTTTTTAATAGCAGGTCCAACTCCAAGGTCAAGTCAAAAGGTAAAAATTCTTGGTTTCTAAGAAGGTATTGTCATAAGGATTAATTATTTGAAGTATGAAAGCCCTAGCTCTAACCGTTCAAAAGTTATGGCCAAGACTAAAGTTTATAAAAGTGGGTCAAACTCCAAGGTCAAAGGGTCAAAATTCTTGGTATCCAATGAAATGTCTTCTCACAAGAATTGCAAAAAAAAAAATTCAAGCATGAAAGCCGTAGCCCTTACAATTAAAAGTTATGGCTAAGATTAATGTTTTTTATAGGTACGGAAATCTCTACGGGTCAAGGTCTAACGGTCAAAGTTGTTGGAATCAAATGAAATCTTGCCACAAAAAATGTATATTTGAAGTATTGAAAACGTAATATCTTCCGTTCGAAAAATTTATCCAAAGAAAACGTTTGAAATTTTTGTTTCAAAGTGGGTCAAAATCCAAGGTCAAGGTCAAAAGGTCAAATTTGGTGGTACAAAAACAAAGTTCTAGCCACAAGGAATACACATAATTTTGCTATAGGCAAGATTCAAATTTTCGCGGATAAAGACAGACAGACAGAAAGACAGGCAGCTAGACAGACAGACAGACAGACGAACACTATTCACCCCTGAAGCTTCGATGTATCCATTGCTCTTCATATTGATGAATTTATCTCTCTTGGGCTATTTTGATGCGTGTAGCCCTTAACGGCTTGGACTTGTCAACTGTTATGGATTGATACGGAAGAAATCTATCACTGAAAAATAGATCTGATGGTCAACGTTTAGCACAGCTTTTTGACATGGATTAGTGAAAAAACTCGTAAAGGAACTTTTTCAAACTTGAAACGTTTTTAAGGTGTGGGTTGGGTATGGTTTGTTACATATCTATATTAACTAAAGTAGAAAAATGCATGGAATGAACTAAATTCAGAGAAAGGGGGAGGAGCAGCCAGAGAAAAAAAATCAACTCCCTGAAAAAAAACTTACATGTAAGTAGCCAAACTTGCAAATAATATATTACGTGAAGTGAAGGGGTAATTTGTTCCAGTACTAAATTTTATTGTAATTCATTACCGCATTTTTGTGTTAAGAAAATAAGTGATGCTAAGTCCTTTACATTAAATTTTCGAATAAGGGGATTTTTTTTTCAAATGGTCTATCTTAAGTTTGTTTGAATTTTTTTATCGTCTATTGTTTAAATGTGAGAAAACCTTTCCACCAGGATAAAACTTGCACATAACGTTAAGTTAAGATGAACTCAGAAAGACTTCTGAATAGTACACAAACTTATGAATAAAAGACTTTATATAATGAAAAATGCACACCACATAATGACTAAAGTAAACACCATAACTACAAAAGTACATCACATAATGATAAACGCACTTCACATAATGATAAACGCATTTCAAATAATGATAAATGCACATGCATCAAATAATGACAAAAGTACATTACACAGTTATACAAGCACATAATGACCTATGTTTACAACAATATGACAAAAGCCATTATATATTGACAAAAAACACGTCAGAAAGAGATAAATGAACATTAAGAATTTAATTTTGTCATGATAAAACAATCCACGCTTAGCATATTAATGCAACAATCACTAAATGCATGTAGATATCAATTTGTTTTATTTGTCCTAGGTTTGTTAGTGAATTTTTCAAAAAAATAGAGAATAACAGGTATTTAAAAGTGTGATTATTAGAATGGATTTATACCATGTTACATTGTTAAAAGATTATGGAGAGGAAATTAATAATGTGTACAGAACTAGTTTCCAAACCTTCTGATTTATTCAATGAAATTGTTCAAAACAAAAGATTTATTTAGAATTCATTCATTCAAACTCCATTGATACGGCAGAAAGACATTATCCAGTTGAAACGTTTTGACTGAATGTTATGGCCTTGGTTATTTTTAAAAACTTTTTCATTCCTGCTCCTGCATTTTAGTAATAAAGTATTTTTCTTCCGCAAACTTATACTGATATTTTTTGGCGGAATTGAGTAAATGCTGATAATAAAACATTTATGACGTGCCCTTGTGTATGTTTTTAAAAATATATAATAAATCATCTTATTTGTGCTCAAACCACGTGTTACATTACTAGAAAATGTTAGGTTTTTTTTATCAAGAACTCTTAACGGGAGGCAGATGGAAAGAAGTACAGTGAAACTTCTCCAAACCGGCCCCCTTGGAAACCTTATAAGTCCCGGCAAAATTCTTAACATTTCTTAACACATAAACTCTCATAAAACCGGCCACCCCTGAAAACCGGACAACGGCCACTTTTCCAATAACAAAAGTTAAGAAACATAGGAAATTACCCCTCATCATACCGGCCACTTTTTGATTGCAAGAAATTTAACTGTCATTAGCCGGAGGGGTTATAATGACTGGCCGCAGGTGTGAAAAACAGCCTACCCACGAGAAGGCACAGGTGTGAAAGACAGAATATGGCCTCAATAGGTTTTCTGTTGTTTAGCCGTCTTGAAGGGGTAGTCATCATCCCAGACTACGTAAATGGCCGGTCTAATTTAAGCTGTGTACATATGATTAACATCAATTAAACTTGAATTAATAAAATATCAAGCAACTAATAAATTTAAATCACAGAATGAATCAACAAATTATCGCACGCCATATTGCATCATCTTTTTTAATATACATAAGCGGCCTTAAAATTGGGCACTGTTAAAAAATGCTAAAGAAAAAAATGTTTATCAAAACATAAATTTCATAATGAGAATAACAGAAGTTTTGCTCAGAAATGTTTTATTTATTTACTTTTAAATGAAGTACAAACGATTTTTTAAATGACATAAGCGATACACAGATATACATGCAGTATACTGTATAGAGTTCAGTTAAGGTAAAAGGTCTGGGGGGTTTTTCTTCGCATATGCTTAATAAAGTAACTTTCCATGTTTTTTTATTTCTGTTCTTATTTTTTAATTTCTTTTCATAAAAATCGACATGTATGTAGAATTTATCCTCACTAATAATAATTTTCATTTTTTTCAGACCTTAAGAATACATTACGTGTCTGCCGATAATTAATTACATGTAGACATTAATTATATATTTTTCCTCGCATCTGTCATAGTTCTGTATAACTTCAGTATGTTATATTCTCGGGAAACCGGCCACCCCTCTAGTCCGGCCATTTTATTCAGTCCAGCAGCTGGCCGGTTTAGAGAAGATTTACTGTATTATAAATAAGAATAATATAAGCAGTGTCTGTAACATTCATCCTTTGACAAATCAAACTCTGTAGTACGGTGAGATTAAGTTATGAAACAGCGCGTTTTAACCACCATGTCAAAGAAATGGTTATTTTTCTTGATAATCTCTGTCCTGACAACCTTTGCCAATACAAAGCGAGGTAAATCTTTATTAGATATACAGATTTATTGATTGAAATTGTATGTATATAAACATTTTATTTTTAAACAAAAGATTAGTAAAAAATCCTTTCTGTCGAAGCAGAAATCAAGGGGAAATACAAATTAAGTGGATCAATTTTTCTTTCCTTTAATAATGAATCTTAACGGTATCATTTTGGCAACCTTTATTTCTATTGTGCTATTTTATTTTAAACTGTTTTGCTTTGACGTTAGACATTATCCCGTCATAGCATATTTTACATACAGTTTATTATTCAGAAAAGGTTATCGCACTAGCCAAAAAATGTTTATATTTATTTTATCATATTAAAAAAAAAAGATATCGGTTCTTACATTAAATAGATGCACATTTAATAATTAGTTTATTTTATAGCTTTCCAATTTTTACGGTATGTACACATGTATTGCGTTGAAACGGTTTAGGCAGGTTTTTTTTAATAAGTCACGTCATTAAAGAGCCTATCATTTGCAGCTTGCGAGCCTGGATAGATTCCATATAGTGACCATTTCTACTATTTTTCTAGGACATCAGCAACGTTAAAGGAGGCAGTTTTAAGTTCTTGTAATAATTTTTAATTAAATTTTGTTATTGTTGTTGTTATAGTTGTCTAAAAATTACGCAATTTTCCGTCTCCAGTTGCGATGTGACAAAAGAATCGTGCTTTTTCCAATTTTTAACCATATTCATACTCTGAAATATTTTAAAATACACATTTTTGCTGACATATATTTTATCTATGCTGATAAAATTCAATGATCGACCGAGTAATTTGCCCGGAAACATGGAGAATCCAAACTTCACTTAGACTTTCTAAAGTTTCGTATTTGTCACTCAATATCTCAAAAATATCTCTAGAAACCTATGGATATATCTGCTTTAAGGTATGTGGGACATACTAAATTAGAGATATGCAAAATGTGGAAAAAATTGAACAACAGGTATTTTTTTCCAGTTAAAAGTCCTTCGTCCCCTAAATTCCGACTTATTAATTAATGTATGTTTATGAAAGCCTATTAGTGACATGCAAAAAATCTGGCTGCTACAACATTTTTTTTATAGGCAATTATCTTTCTTTCAAGCGCCCGCCAGATAAAATATACTTTCTTTCTATATGGCTCGTACCAGCTTTTGTTTCTGTTCAAAAACGTTCCTTATTGTTTGCCTTATCCAAAACAAAAGGGATTATACATGGATTTTTCAAACCCTTTGAAATGATTTCGATGTCTTCAACGCAGGAAATGTTTCGTTTGTTTGAAAAAAAAAAACACGTCAAAGCCTTGTTGTGAAATTGAAGTATCAGAGTTTGATATTTGATGTTTTATAAAAACATTCTTTTCAAAAATTGCCTTTTAGATTTTTTTAAAAATACCTTATTAAAATATATGTCTTTGTCCATAGAAGTAAACAATTAGAAATGTTCTTTGTTTGAACATATTATGTTGTAAAAATTCTAAAGAAATGGTTTGAACCATTTGTGTTAAACACACAAGTAGAATGTGTTTACTCCAATTTAACCTCATGTCTGTTATGTTATGAATTTCAATGAATTTAAGTCAAGCTGTACATTTACATTAATTAAATAAATCTGCGTTCAGAATAGAATTGATTGCTAACGTTATATACCGTAATTCAAGTATGAAAGCCGTAGCCCTTACAATTAAAAGTTATGGCTAAGATTAATGTTTTTTATAGGTACGGAAATCTCTATGGGTCAAGGTCTAACGGTCAAAGTTGTTGGAATCAAATGAAATCTTGCCACAAAAAATGTATATTTGAAGTATTGAAAACGTAATATCTTCCGTTCGAAAAATTTATCCAAAGAAAACGTTTGAAATTTTTGTTTCAAAGTGGGTCAAAATCCAAGGTCAAGGTCAAAAGGTCAAATTTGGTGGTACAAAAACAAAGTTCTAGCCACAAGGAATGAACATAATTTTGCTATAGGCAAGATTCAAAGAACAAGGTTCACTTTCGCCTTATTTGGCCCTGTGAATATCTGAAAAACTGAAACTGCATAGTTTTAGTTAACAATGCATTAAAATATCACTGAGATCTTTGGTGACTGCGATCCTTTGAAAAATGACGTCATTTTCTTTTTAGTCAATGCATTATGACGTCACGAAATGCGTCAATTTCCTAATATTCCGAAAAAGTCTACAAAAACGGCCAATTTTTAAAGTTATTTTTTGATATTTGATATAGAGCGCAACCTCTGATCTAAAATATGCAACTAGTAAATGATAGAACTGTTTCTGGGGATTCATGGACATGTTTTATTTTTTAGATCAGAGGGTGCGCTCATATTATTTTTCTTCACTGAAAGTACTCAATTATACCTGTTTTCCTAAAAATTCAAGAACATTGCAATTTCATAAAGCCAGTTCTCCAAGACCTGGACTTTGAGGAGAATTTTTTAAATAGGATATGAAAGCACCAAGTCTCTATTTTATTTTAATGCTTCAAATAGAAAATCAAGTGTTGATCAATTAATTGGTATATCTACAGGGCCATTTTATGCATAAAGTGAACCGACTTCTTTTCGCGGATAAAGACAGACAGACAGAAAGACAGGCAGCTAGACAGACAGACAGACAAACACTATATACCCCTGAAGCTTCGATGTATCCATTGCTCTTCATATTGATGAATTTATCTCTCTTGGGCTATTTTGATGCGTGTAACCCTTAACGGCTTGGACTTGTCAACTGTTATGGATTGATACGGAAGAAATCTATCATTGAAAAATAGATCTGATGGTCAACGTTTAGCACAGCTTTTTGACATGGATTAGTGAAAAAACTCGTAAAGGAACTTTTTCAAACATGAAACGTTTTAAGGTGTGGGTTGGGTATGGTTTGTTACATATGTATATTAACTATGCTAGAAAAATGCATGGAATGAACTAAATTCAGAGAAAGGGGGAGGAGCAGCCAGAGAAAAAAAATCAAGTCCCTGAAAAAAAACTTACATGTAAGTAGCCAAACTTGCAAATAATATATTACGTGAAGTGAAGGGGTAATTTGTTCCAGTACTAAATTTTATTGTAATTCATTACCGCATTTTTGTGTTAAGAAAATAAGTGATGCTAAGTCCTTTACATTAAATTTTCGAAGAAGGGGATTTTTTTTTCAAATGGTCTATCTTAAGTTTGTTTGAATTTTTTTTATCATCTATTGTTTAAATGTGAGAAAACCTTTCCACCAGGATAAAACTTGCACATAACGTTAAGTTAAGATGAACTCAGGAAGACTTCTGAATAGTACACAAACTTATGAATAAAAGACTTTATATAATGAAAAATGCACACCACATAATGACTAAAGTAAACACCATAACTACACAAGTACATCACATAATGATAAACGCACTTCACATAATGATAAACGCATTTCAAATAATGATAAATGCACATGCATCACATAATGACAAAAGTACATTACACAGTTATACAAGCACATAATGACCTATGTTTACAACAATATGACAAAAGCCATTATATATGGACAAAAAACACGTCAGAAAGAGATAAATGAACATCAAGAATTTAATTTTGTCATGATAAAGCAATCCACGCTTAGCATATTAATGCAACAATCAATAAATGCATGTAGATATCAATTTGTTTTATTTGTCCTAGGTTTCTTAGTGAATTTTTCAAAATAATTAGAGAATAACAGGTATTTAAAAGTGTGATTATTCGAATAAATTTATACCATGTTACATTGTTAAAAGATTATGGAGAGGAAATTTATAATGTGTACAGAACTAGTTTCCAAGCCTTCTGATTTATTCAATGAAATTGTTCAAAACAAAAGATTTATTTAGAATTCATTCATTTAAACTCCATTGATACTGCAGAAAGACATTATCCAGTTGAAACGTTTTGACGGAATGTTATAGCCCTTGTTTTTTAAAAAACTTTTTCATCCCTGCTCCTACATTTTAGTACTTAAGTATTTTTCTTCCGCAAACTTATACTGATATTTTTTGGCGGAATTGAGTAAATAATGATAATAAAACATTTATGATTTATATAGTAAATCAAGTTATAAGTTCTCAAACCATGTGTTACATTACTAGAAAAAAGCTAGTGGTTTTTATCAAGAACTCTTAACGGGAGGCAGATGGAAAGTAGCATTATAGATTAGAATAATATAAGCAGCACCTGTGACATTTATCCTTTTACAAATCAAATCCTATTGTACGGTGAATATTTAATTATTAAATAGCGCGTTCTCTCCACCATGTCAAAGAAATGGTTAATTTTCTTGATAATCTCTGTCCTGACAACCTTTACCAATACACGGCAAGGTAAATGTTTATTAGATATATGATCTTGTTAATTGAAATCGTATGCTTATCAACATCTTATCTAAAAAAAAGACTACATAATGTAGTAAAGAATCCTTATGGATTTGTCGAAGCAGAAACTGAGGGGAAATACAAATTAACTGGATCAACTTTTCTTTCCTTTAATCATGAATCTTAACCGTATCGTTTTCGCAACCTTTATTATTCGTTTCATTTTAAACGAAGATTTGTTTTGACCCAGCACGCTTAGCCATTATACAATTAAAGCCTTGTTTACATGCAGTTTCTTTATCATTTAGAAAAAAGTTGTCCCACTTGCCAAAAACGTAAATCTGTGTTTTATAATATTAAAATAGATATATTTTCTTACACTAAAAAGACGGCATTTAATAATTAGTTACGTATTTTATAGTGTTCTAATTTTTACGACATGAATTGGGTTGAAGCAGTTTAGGCTTTTATTTTATGTTACGTCATTTAAGCGCCTATTATTTGCAGTTTGTGAGAGTGGCTGGATTCCATATGGTGACCATTGCTACTATTTTTCTATGACATCAGCAACGTTAAAGGATGCAGTTGTGAGTTCGTGTCATAATCTCTATTCATAGCATTACCGTTACTTCCCCTAACTTTCTGATAATTTGAAGAAATTGTAAATAAGCAAAAACAATCATAATTCACCTGGTCTAAAGACCCCTTGTGGATTTGACGCTAGTACATGTAATTGATTGATATTTAGTTCCGAGTTTTAGCTTATCGGTTATGTAGATTGTCAGCTCACCTGAGCCGAAGGCTCAAGTGAGCTTTTCTGATCAAAATTTGTCCGTTGTCTGTCGTTGTCGTTGTTGTCGTAGTCGTTGTTGTCGTTGTCGTCGTCGTTTACATTTTCATCTTCTTCTCAAGAACCACTGAACCAATTTCAACCAAACTTGCCACAAAGTATCCTTGGGTAAAGGGGATTCAAATTTGTTCAAATGAAGGGCCACGCCCTTTTCTAAGGGGAGATAATTATGAATTTGAGAAAAATTAATGCCATTTTTAAAAAATCTTCTTCTCAAGAACGACATACCAGAAAAGATGAAACCTATGTGGAATCATCCTCAGGTAATGTCGATTCAATTTTGTTCATATCATGACCCCCAGGGGGTAGGATGGGGCCAAAATGGCCGACCAAAAATTAATTCTCATAGGAATATAAAGGGAAACCTTTTAAAATCTTCTTTTCAAGTACTTCAAAGCCATGATTAGTAATATTTATGTAAAATTATCCTCAGGTAGTGTAGATTCTAGTTTGTCCAAATCATATGTGGTTTTTCCTAGCTGATGTGCTCAGGTGAGCGCTGTGGCCCCTGGGCCTCTTGTTTTATGTGGCTTGTAAATAACTGTAATATTTGCATAACAAATACAATCTCAATGAACATGAATCTAAAATGTATCATACATGAAAACATTCTAAAATCGATATTTTCGATTTTCTTGATATTGTGTAATCGAGTGAATGCCTTGTAAGGAATTAACTTATGAAAGTTGAATCTAGAACATTTATAAATACTTCATGATTCATGGAAGAAACATATAATAGTAGTACACAATTGGTTAACATTTAAAGCTACATTTTCAGACAAAATGTTATGGAATGAGTTCAACTTTAGTGGAACCGAATGCAGTTGCAGAGCAAAGATGAATGATCGTCCAGGGTGTAGTAAGAGGTGAGATAAATTTTTTTGTTCTTTGAGGAATTTTAGTTACATATAATTTCAATCGATATGAATTTCTTACGTTATAACGTATTACTCTATGTTTACAAAAGCCTGTAGTTGTCATCTTAAAAAAGCATCGTTAGAGGTCTTTTATTTACAAAATCTGATTTTACATTAAATTTGCTTTTAATGTATTAACATGTACATGTGTGTTTATGAAAGCCTGTTAGTGATATGTAAAACAGGAAGCCCAGGGGCCACATCGCTCACCTGAGCAATTTGCTAGGAAAAAGCACATATCAGATCAGAACTGAAAGTTTACTGAGTTGGGGGGGGGGGGGGGGGGGGGCTTGACTTTTAACCTCCTAGGGGGTCATGTTTTAAACAAGCTAGAATCTACACTACCTGAGAATGATTCCATATAAATATCACTTTGCATGGATTGAAGTACTTGAAAAGAGGATTTTAAAAGGTTTCGCTATATGTACCTATGTTAAACTTTGATCGGCCAATTTGGCCCCACCCTACCCCAGGGGGTCATGATTTGGACAAACTTGAATCTACACTACCTGAGGATAATTTCACATGAGTTTAATCTTTCCTGTCTCAATGGTTCTTGAGAAGAAGATTTTTAAGATTTTTCCTTTATATTCCTATGTAAAACTTTGATCGGCCATTTTGGCCCCAACCTACCCCCGGGGTCATGAATTGAACAAACCTGAATCTACACTACCTCAGGATGAATCCACATAAGTTTCATCTTTCCTGGCCCAGTGATTCTAGAGAAGAAGATTTTTAAAGATTTTTCCTATATATTCCTATGTAAAACTTTGATAAAACTTGAATCCCCTTCACCCAAGGATACTTTGTAGCAAGTTTGGTTGAAATTGGTCCAGTGGTTCTTAAGAAGAAGATGAAAATGTTTACAACGACGACGACAACGATAACGACGACAACAACGACAACAACGACGACAGACAACGGACAAATTTTGATCAGAAAAGCTCACTTGAGCCTTTGGCTCAGGTGAGCTAAAAAGGTTTGGATGCCACCACATATTTTTTGATGGCAATTATATTTTTTTGAGGCGCCCGCCATATAAAAGAATTTTTCTAAGTGGCAACTACCAGGTTCTGTTTTTCCCGCGTGGCGCAGTGGTTAGAGCGTCTACTCTAGAGTCGCGATGTAAGGAATTGATCCTTACGTTGCGGCTTCGAATCCCATTCTGGGACGAGGAGATCGGTCCATCGGATGAGACTGTATAAACTGAGGTCCCGTGTTGCAGTAGGTGCTAGCACGAATAAGATCCCTCACTGTTCGATGGTCATGAGTGCCAAGTGCATGAAAAACTTTGTAGCTCTCCACCTGCAAGTGGTCGCGTCTTCATATAAGTGAAAATTTTCGAGAGGGACGTTAAATAATATACAATGAATCAATCAACTATAAATGTTTAATTACTTAACTGCTTGTTAACCTAATCTAAAGCAATAGGGATTTAATATGGATTTTAAAACCCGTTTAAAGCATTTCAAAGTAACCAACCTATGACATTTTTCGTTTGTTTGCAAGAAAACATAAGATGGGGCTTAAAAAACGCCATAGCCTTGTTATAAAATTGAAGTATCTCAAGTTGAAATTTGACATTATATAGAAACATTCTTTTAAATATTCTCTTTTCTATTCTTGTTAATACATATATCTCATTAAAATATCTTTGTTCAAAGAAGTCAACAATCAGATATGTTTTTAGTTTGAACATATTTTATTGAATGAACACTATACAATTTCACCATGAAATGCTACAACTGTCAATGTCTGTATAGGAGGAAAAAGAAAAAAAAAAGATATACAAACATGTTTGTTTAAAACATACATTCTCTACACATGATAAATGTATAACTATCTAGAGTTTGAGTGTTATACTGTAATTACTTTTATCTACCAGAATCTTGTACAGTAAAAGTTTGCACTGATTGAAAAAAATGATTGATTTCTACATTTTTTGACTCATCTCCCCCACAGATGTAAGTAACAATCAATAATAATTAAACATTTGGTTAAGTTAAAAATAATAGATATCTTAATACAAGTAGTTTCTCTCTAGGATATTGGTACTTATTGCAAACAAAGAGAAAATGATATGGATCTTCAGGTGTACCTCATGAACAATAAGGACTTTCGATAATGTTTCTTTTACAAAGATCATTATTTAAAATGCAGTTGTATCGTAGTTTAGTATGTATGATGTTAAGTCGTCTATTTACGATGGGAGAAATAAGAAGGTGGTCTGCTGGTTTTCTATGCTTATTGTTTTTTAAAGCTACTAAAAGATGGGCTGTTTCCTGTGGTTATAATAAAATTATTCCATTGGTTTATAGTATAAGGAACGAACAATTTCATTAATATTTCAAGTCTACATCTAGGAAAAGTGAACTCTTTATTACGTGTGTCTTTATTTGATTCAATACTTCCTGTTTAGGAAAAAAATACTTTTTTAAATAATCGGGTACCCAGTTGTGATGTACTTTAAACATGGTATTTAGTTTTGCTACCTTACACCTTTATGCAAGAGTTATCCATCCTGTTTCTAAATCTCATGTATCTTCATATGATCTTCTATTTGATTTGTTTTGGTAAAGCTCTTTGCTTTTGAAAATGGAGTTGACTGCATGATATGGATATAACAAGAATATGTCAAGTGACAGTGCTGAATTGGCTAATTTAATTATTTCTATTATTTCTGCAGTTAATAATGCAGAACAATGACATTCGAAATGGTCTGTGTCATTTGAACTGGTTGAAACGTTCTCAAAAATTTAATATGAATTGAAAGTAATATGCTTCTTTTTATCCTAATGTAGCAACAAAATATGCACTGATCCATTTCTGACAACATTATATGCAAACTTAAAAGATATAATTCAGATTAAAAACAATTACATCTAATGTCAATGTATTAGAACTACCTACACTATTTATCAAGCATTTTGTTTTATTTCAAGCATTAAAAACCTATGGATATGCGTCACCGATTTGCTTCAGAACCACAGTTTTGTTTATATTTCTAACGGTTATAATGTTCAAGAAGATGACAATAACTGGGATAAAGGACAGCCTGACCCTGACAACACAGAACACTGCGTTGCCCTCCCTGCTGGGTACAAAGGATGGCATGATTATCCCTGCGATTCGATGTTTCATTTTGTGTGTAAGAGACGGAAAATTTAATAACGACCGGCTTTATAAACTTTAACATGTACATGTAGACCGTTCACTGTAGCTCAGTCAGTAGAGCACTCGCTCCGTGATCGGGAGTTCGTGAGTTCGTATCTCGGCCGCGACTGACCCAGTCAATAAAATGGGTAGCAAGTGTTCCTTCGCCATGCGCTCGGTATTTTAAAGTGAAAGTTGAGGGTCCTTCGGATGAGACCTTGTAATTAAAAACCGAGGCCCCGTGTCAGCGGCAGGCGTTGGCACGATAAAGATCCCTCACTGCTCAATGGCCTTGAGGGCCGAGTAAAGGTCAAAATTTGAAGCCCTTCACCGGCATACGGTGACGTCTCCATATGAGTGAAAAATTCTCGAGAGGGACGTTAAACAATACACAATCAATCAATCAATGTACATGTAGATATATATTTGATGAAAGAAAAAGAAGAAATAAACTGTTAGTCTTACATATTATATATTCAGAATTGTTCGTATCTAGGGGACTAAAATAGAAAGGAAATTTTTGTCCCTTTTTTCGCCCCTGTCGCCCTAACTTCTGATAGGCGACATTATAAAAGGAGATAACTATAAGAACATAGTAATATATCTTTAACAAAGTGTGACGGGCAAAATTACTTGCACAATTCATAAAACGAAAATAAAGCGGGACGAAAATAAGTATTTTTACAGTAGATATTTACAAAGGAGATAAGTATGGTGTTCAGTACTTTACAAGCATATTCACAGATGTGTGGTCCGGAAATATGAACACCCCTTCATATGTCATTCAAAAGTAATCACCATAGATAAAATCACTTTGTGCATATGCAGTCATGCTTGGAGAGAGTCTGAAAGAAAGTGGTACAATTATCCGGACGATTTGTTGGGAACAGAGAAGTCCGGATTAATGAGGCGATATTGTATATATTCTTCTGAAAAGAGGTAAATTTTGACTTAGGTTCACGGGTCTCTTGAACTATAGGGATATCAGTATATTTTTCCATTAATTTCATAGCACATACGTTCATGTACGTTTCCTCTATTTTCTTTTGATCATCATTTCCGATTCCGTAAGATCTTTCCCCTGAACAATGGTAGGATACCAAACAAAATTTATATGATCGACATAAAAAGGAGCATTAAGATTTGTCCATGTACAATAATCAAACCACCATCCAGAACCACAAAATGCCCCACATCCGTGTCTGTTGTCGTGGTCAAATGTGGAAAAGGTCTGATTTACTACATTGTAACCTCTAAAGGCGTCATCTACAAGGAATATAAATATATATTCAGTTAATAAATGTAGTAGTGAAATTTTCCTTAAATCCTCCTCCTCCTCTGAAAGAAAAAAGAGTAAGGTTTAAAAAACATTCCTAGATCTGAATTTTTGTACAAGTAAAGATTCTTTTATTCGAGTATAGATTTTAATATACCTACGGAAGAAAAGAAGGAACAACGAAAACATTTATCACTTAAGATTTTTTTCTGATTTTATATCACTGAACACAGATTTATTTTCACCTTATACTATTCGCGCCCTTTCACTTAATTTTGACCCATTTAAAATTTGCCCAATCTCATTTCTGTTTTGAAAAAGAATATTTTTTTACCCGGTTTTCAATTCGCCCACCTTTGAAAAAGTCAAAGTGACGAAAATTAAACGGGGGGGTGGGGTGGTTAATGGCATATAGTGTGCCATTTATTTATTACTTACATTCACCTTGGCAAGCTTAAATTATTATTAGAATCAAAGTTATACTCACCTATGTTTCCTATTTTGGTGCCTAAAGACAACCTATAGCTATCATTCTCAGAAGAGATGGAGAACTGGTCGTACTTTACTTCAAAGTTCTTGTTATTTGTACTTTTCATTTTTAGGTACAGATCGTTTTGGAAGGTAGTGGTTAATTTATGAATGACCTCATTTCCTTGATAAAGAGAGATACATATTATTAGTTTCATTTATATACAGATGGAAACAAAGAAAAAACTAAAAATGAAGAAGACAACAACAAAACTATTAAAAAATACGCATATTTTGCTTTTGGAATAACAGACTGAATTTGACATGAATTCATATTTGATTTACCAGTAAATTGCTTTTAGATCCCTTTGAGCCTTGACAATAACGGTGTTTTTTTTCTATCATCGATAAAATTTACGGGTTGAAAATATTTATTTTGAACTTATTTCAAAAAGATGTTACGTAATCTTAAGAAAGGTTGAATCTGAGAAGAAAAATATAGTACTAAATTCATTTACATTGAACTCTTGCTGATAGTCAAAAGGTGAATCAATATCTGAATTTAAAGTAGCATTAGCTGACACAAAGCTGGGTTGAGCTCTTTTAATCTAAGGTATTTGATTTTACCTAAATTTTATTATAAACTTAAATATTGTTTTTGAAAATCATAACAGGGGGTATCTTGATTGCTAAAACAGGCTATTGAAAAAAAAAAAAAAAACAGAAGAAAAAGAAAAATGTTATCAAAATTTTATGTAACTCTGTTTTGAATATAAATAGATAGTTGTATTTGTACGAAAAATTGCATGTGAAAAACCTTCTTTGGGAAATATTTATTACTATTTGACTTTTCCTGAGAAGAACTTTGTACCTACTGGACAACTTTTAAGTGTTTGTTTACGCTATTTTTATCAGTCTACATGTGTGTAACTAAGACCTCTGACAAAATGTTATATTCTAATCGTAACTCCCTGCAGAAATTCACTTTTTAATATAGTTGCAAATTATTGGCCTACATTACATGAGGAACTGTGTGCAATGTTAATTGTAATAATCAATAACAGTCGTACAGATGTACATCTAAATTAACATAATAAGAACATGTGTAGATTATCTCAATTATCTTGAATAGACAAACAGTTACAAAGAGGTTTGTTTAAGGAATTCACTGTCAAGTTAGTATAGAATGCCAGGGCATCAACGATAGCGTGAAACTTGGGATAATTTGCATAATGGGCGAAGCGAGTTATGCATAAATTAGACAGTGACTCCTTATATTTCTATTTCATTATGAAATAAAATTGTAGAATTAGATTTTAAAAATGTAGACATTTAAATTATACGAGACTCCCATGCCAATTTTCAATAGTCTTCGCCCACTGATTTCAAACACAAAGGCACCCGCACGAGATTTACCTGACCTTAGCTATATTTGGCCTCCTTAGCGTCAGACATAGAGACAGATGCAGACAAAATTTGCATGCATAGTAGGCTTCCTTAGCTCCTGACCTATCGATCTGCCTAATTTACCTTCCTTTAGAATTTATCAAGAAATCAACTCTTCTAACTTTGAAAAAAGAGTTATCACAAAAAAAAGAAATGGAAATATTATAGGATAACATGTACAATTTACTCCGCCTATTCAATTTTTGTTGAAAATTTTTATGTTAATGTACCGACCAAGCCAATAATTTCCATTAACATCCCCAAAACCTCGTTTGTATTCATCCCAGGTTGTGTTGAAATTTACACGGGGAATATCTCGATTCCTGTGCTGAATGACCTAAAATAAAATTATATTTCAAACTCACAGAGTACTTCAAGAATATCATTATCCCTGAAAAATGTTGAAGTCATAAATATGCCATTAAAATATATTATAACTATTGAACACATCAAATCTGTATCTTAAAGAAAATATTAAAACAGGAATGTTGAGAATTAATATCAGCTGTATCTTAAGATATGATATATCATTACCGTCCAACCCCCTCCTGATGATTTCATGTCACATAACACCTGAACGGAAGTAAAGTTGTTGTTATCAACGAAGGGGAATATTTCATAAATTCCAGTCTTTCTTCTACCCCAGTTGTAGATGTCGTAACAGTCAAACGGAACATGGCAATCTGCATCAACGACAAAAAGTATCAAGTTGTGAAATTTTATAATTTACAGCTGTTACAAAAAAAATTGCGTATGTGCTGAGACATATTCGAATGTTCCCATTTCCAACCATGTTTCGTTTAAGAATTTAAATATGATACATCTTATGTTTAAAACAATTCAAATAAGTCTCCTGTGAATCTACTGCTGATTATTATATAAAAAAAAATTGAGAAATAGTTTTGAAATTAAAATCGAGTAAATTACTTTAAAAAAAATGTGAGTTTAGGTGTGCTTTATGTAGCGATCATTAACTGTGATAAAGCCATGAGAACAATCCTACTCCAGGAACCTTGACAAAAATCCTTTGATTTGTATAAAATTGTATTACTCTTTCGTTTCGTAACCCTTTTGATGATAAATATCATTAAAGACACATACGGAGATTGGCACATCCGTAAAAGGGCATCGATACTAGTATACAGTTATTGTGATTAAAATTCGAAAAAGACAGTGACCTTAAATGCATAAATACGAGGGTTGATCCAAAAGCAATGTCACTGTGTTAAAATCTTTATAATTTGACGTCATATTATCAAACATAATGCTCTGAAAGATGCATAAACATAATCTAATCAAAATTGAAATTTCATTTAATAATGTTTAAATGAAACCATTTTACAGATGTTAAAAACATTAAACACAAAGGGTGTCGCCGCGTCACTAAACTAAACGTCACGTTTTAAAAGTGTGTTAGAATGAAAAAAGACAAACACAATAAAAAGCATCTAAAAAGCGTCTAATCGCCTAATATTTTAAAAGACAAAGTTAACGATATGTTCTAGTCTTTAGTTTAAAATTCAATGGCGGCATTTTTTGTTTATTTCTGATGTATTGCAGGAAGGAAATGTCAAAATGGAATAAAACGCCGAAACGAGTTGTAATACAATTTTCCTTCAAAATCGGGAAATCGCCAGTAGACACAGTTACGATGGTAAATCTGACTCGCAGAGGAAAGGATGTGAACAAGAGACTTGTTCATAGATGATTTCAGAGATTTTTGGTGGGTTATGGGTAATTTAAGTGATCAGCTAAGGACAGAAAGACCGAAAGATAGGAGGTCGAATGGAAACGTTCAATGGCGTCGACGTTGTCAAAAAAGAGATTCGTGTCACGCGGTTCGAGTGATATGAGAAACTTTTAAGTTTGTCTTATGGTATTCAAACAAATTTGATGAAGGACTTAATTATAAATAGAGTGTACAATTTATGCCAATAATTCTTAAAGAAAGTAAAATATGTGAATGTGTTTGTGAATATCATTTTTTAATTAAATGATGGACAAACGTTTTAAAAGTCTGTGACGGCGCATATCCGTCATGTGACGTTATTTAGGTGCGGCAGCGACCATAATCGCACTTTGTTTATAATTGGACATTTCAAAAAGTATAAATCATTTTAATTTGAATTTTTGAGGACTGATTTGAAAAAAATATAGCTTCCATCATGTATAATTTTGTTAATTTACGTAAACTAGAAGCAATTTTATCGAAGTTGTGACATTACTTTCGGATCGACCCCCGTATTTGTCTCTATACAGGATAAGGCATTAAGTCATGCCGAGAAAACTACCAGAAGAAAATTTGATAAGTTAATTTTATTAATCGAGATAGATATTATTGTATCTTAACACAACCAGAAATGTTATCTTGACTTGACGAGGTAACTATTTTGACGCATTGATGCTTACAAAAATTATGTAAAAGGCATAAAAATGCTACCAAAGAACACATACGTACTTTTCGAGAGCTTTTTGAGCAGACCTCTGATTTCCTTGTTTTCCTGACGAAGTTGATCTACTTCACTCTTAAGCTCTGTCTGTTCGTTTGAAACTGTTCTACAAACTTTTAAAAATTCCATTATCTGTCCAAAACTGATGCACTTATCTTTTTCATTTAAATGAATATACTGGGAACTTGAAAACAATAAGGCAGACATGAAAAAAGTTATCCATAAAATTGCCATGGTTTTAACTCTTTTGGATATTTAGGTAGAAAGTTCCCTGAATATCCAAGTATAAAAAGTTGATAAACTGGATAAATATTTTTATATTTCCTTATATCATATTTCAGCCGAATATCTTTTCATCGGTATCGCTTTAATAAGTCAGCTTGAATAAATATTTCACATGCACACAATATATTCAATTGCTTTATATATATTTACATATTTCATACTTTTTTAACTTCCTGATAAATGATAAATTATGCGCTTAACCCTATCAAATACTTTGAATTGTAATGATATATAGTCTAGGATCATATGTATTCTAAAAAAAACAAACAAAATGGCGGCGATGTAAACAAAACTTGCCCACTTTATAATCATCAAATTTTTAATTTATCAAATTTGCACTAAGCTTAATATTTTGTAAGATTGCCTTTTGAATTGAAGCAGAATGTTTTCCCAGACCTGTCGAACGGCTACTGCAAAGTCATCGGTGGTCCCAAGATGATCATTGATATTAAGTTCGTCTTTAATTTTTCCTGCAATTTTCCATAAAATTTTAATCAGGGCATTTTGCTTGCTATTCAAGTGTCAATATTCTCTATCTAGTCACGAAATCTTTCACTACTTTGGCTCTATGCAAAGGCGCATTGTCGTCTTGAAATACATACAGATTGTTAGGGAAATGCCTGGCAACTTCAGACCATATATTGCTATCGATGATTTCAATGTATTTTTCGGCATTTACATTACCGCCAACAACACATAAAGTACCTAAACTTATACATCCCCAGACAATCAAATCACGGCGGCGTCAAGGAGGGATGCAACGCAAGGGGGGATCCCATTTTTCGCCGCCATTTTGCCACATATACACGCGTTGTTCTCCTTCAATTATCACCATATATTATATGTTTTACGGTGTGGCCGTTTCGGTGAGCGCTGTTATACAAAACACTTGAAAAATTGATCAGCCACTTCAATAATCAAGCCGTACGAGACATCTCGACTAGCTGTGACGTCATATGACGTCACGGAGCTCTTCAGAGCCTACGGAGACAGCCGAACGTCTGGTTGAAACTACAGACCTAGTACAATTTTGGTCAAAAAACATTGCCGAGTTATTTTTTTATTTCTTAGAAAGTTTTCTACGAACTGAAAGCCATCTATACTTTACGTATTTATTTATTTATTTATTCGCACAAAGGACATTGGTTAGTAAAGGAATTCTGAGAACGTTTCACACAAAATTTGCTAGGGGTATGTACAGATTTCATTTCGGATTTCCTCTGTTCTTATGCGTTAGTCAATTGAGCCAGATAAAAAAATCAAATCCCTGAAGGAAAAACTTAACCAGCCAAACTTGCAAATAATATATCTAGTGAAGGGAGGGGTTAATGTATATCAGTTTTATCTGTAAACTACCATATAGTTGTGTTAAGAAAAAAAGTGTTGCTAAGTTTATCACATTAAATTTTCGAATAAGGAGATATTTTTTTCAAATGAAAACTTTCGAACCACGATAATACTTGCACATAAGGTAAAGATGTTTACACACACGAAGACTTCTGAACACGACGTAATGGCTTTTGAAAAGTACACAAACTTAATATGAAATTATGCACTTTTTATAATGAGAAATGCACACAACATAATGACTACAATACACAACATAAGGACAGAAGTATATCACATAATGACAAAAGCACTTCACATAATAATAAACGCACTTCAGATAATGATCAAAGCACATCACAAAATGATAAACGCACTTCACACAATGATAAACGCACTTCCACAATGATAAAAGCACTTCACATAATGATAAAGGCACATTTAATAATGATAAAAGCACATTTAATAATGATAAAAGCACTTCACATAATGATAAACACACTTCAGATAATGATAAACGCACTTCACATAATGATAAAATCACTTCACATAATGATTAACGCACTTCACACAATGATAAAAGCACTTCACATAATGATAAACGCACTTCACAGAATGATAAAACCACATTACATAATGTCAAAAGTGCAAGACATAATTAAAAAAACGCATTAAATATTGATAAAAGCACATTACAAATGATAAAAGCACATTACAGAATGATACAAGCACATAATGACATATATTTACAACAATATGACAAAAGCCATTATATATTGACAAAAGCACATCACAAAAAGATACATGCATTTTTTAAGGACAGATGATACAAACAAATTTTTACTTTGGATGATACTTAATATCATGTCGCAAAAGTGGATAATTCTGACAAATTTTCTGGAAAAGAACTGGAAAATGAAATAGACTTGGAAAATGTTAGTAATATTTCAATAAAAAAAACAAATATAGACAAATCACACTCAGTAAAGGTTTACAGATGAAAACAAATTTTAGAAGATGTTATCTCGGCGCTAAAAATGCAATATAAACTTAAGAAAAACATACCAAGCCGGGTGAATTTTATGAGGAAAAACAAAATGCCAAGAATTAAGCAATATCATATAGGCTAATTTTTACCATTTTGCTTTTCCTCATAAAATTCACATGGCTTGGTATACTTTTCTAGCACCAATTTAACATATTCTTTTTTTTTTTTCATTTGTAAACCTTTACTGACTGTGTTTTGTCCATATTTGTAATTTAGTTGAAATATTAGTAATATTTTCCAAGTCTATTTCATTTTCAAGATCTTTGGAGAAAAGCTTCTAAGAAACATCTACTTTTCTTAACTTATGGCATGATATTAAGCCTCCTCCAAAGAAAAAAAAAATGTTTGTAGCATCTGTCCTTAAGAATTTAATTTTGTCATGATGAAACTGTCCATGCTTTGCATGTTTATGCAACATTCAGTAAATGTACGTACATATCAATTTGTTTGTTTTTTTGGTAATAGGTCTCTAAGAGAATTTTTCAAAAAATTTAGTTAAAGAAAAGGTGTTTAAAAGTGTGATTATTAGAATGGATTAATACCAAGTAACATTGTTGAAAGATTATGTAGAGGAACTGGGTAATAAGAACAGAACCTGTTTCCAATCCTTTTGATTTATTAAACAAAATTGTTCAAAATAAAAGATTTTTTAGAATTCATTCAGTTTAACTCCATACATGCCATATATAAGGCAAAAATGAAAACATTATGCCATTGAAACATTTTAACTGAATGTTATGGCCCTGGTTGTTTTAAAAAAAACATTTTTCATTCCTGCTCCTGCATTTAATTACTACGGTATTTTTCTTCCGCAAAGTTATGCTGATATTTTTTGAGGAATTGTGTACATGTTGATAATAAAACAGTTATGACGTGCCTTTGTTTATTTCATTAAAATTATATAGTAAATCAAGTTATTTGTTCTCAAACCACGTGTTACAGTACTAGAAAAAAACTAGGGTTTTTTTTTATCGAGAACTCTTAACGGGAGGCAGATGGAAAGAAGCCTTATAGATTAAAGAATAATATAAGCAGTGTCTGTGAAATTTATCCTTTGACTAATAAAAGTCTGTAGTACAGTGTGGATTTAAATATTAAATAGCTCGTTTTATCCACCATGTCAAAGAAATGGTTAATCTTCTTGATAATCTCTGGACTGACAACCTTTGCCAATACAAGGCGAGGTAAATATTTATTAGATAGATGATCTTGTTAATTGAAATTGTATGCTTATCAACATCTTATCTAAAAAAAAGAATACATAATGTAGTAAAGAATCCTTATTGATTTGTCGAAGCAGAAACTAAGGGGAAATACAAATTAAGTGGATAAACTTTTCTTTCCTTTAATCATGAATCTTAACCGTTTCGTTTTAGCAACCTTTATTATTCGTTTCATTTTAAACGAAGATTTGTTTTGACCCAGCGCGCTTAGCCATTATCCAGTTAAAGCCTTGTTTACATGCAGTTTCTATATTATTCAGAAAAAGTTATCTCACTTGCCAAAAACGTAAATCTGTGTTTTATTTTATTAAAATAGATATCTTTTTTACATTAAAAAGATGAACATTTAATAATTAATTACGCATTTTATAGCGTTCCAATTTTTACGGCATGAATTGAGTGGAAACGGTTTAGGTTTTTTTTTATTGTCACGTCAGTAAAGTGCCTATCATTTGCAGTTTGTAAGAGTGGCTGGATTCCATATGGTGACCATTGCTACTATTTTTCTAGGACATCAGCAACGTTAAAAGATGCAGTTGTGAGTTCATGTAATAATTCTATTTATAGCATTAGCGTTATTTTCCCTCACTTTCTGATAATTTGAAGAAAGAGAAAAATTAGCAAAACCAATCATAATTCACCCGGTCTAAAGACCCCAATTGGATTTGACGCTAGTAATTGATTGATATTTAGTTCCGAGTTTTAGCTTATCGGTTATGTAGATTGTTTTATGTGGCTTGTAAAGTAACTGTAATGTTTGAATAACAAATACAATATCAATGAACATGAATCTTAGATGTATCATACATGAAAATTTGTTAAAATCAATATTTTTGATTTTCTTGATATTGAGTAATCGAGTAAATGCCTTGTAAGGAATTTACTTATGAAAGTTGAATCTAGAGCATTTATAAAGACGTCATGATTCATGGGAGAAACATCTAATAATAGTACACAATTGGTTAACATTTAGAGCGACATTTTTCAGACAAGTTGCTATGGAATGAGTTCAACTTTAGTGGAACCGAATGCAGTTGCAGAGGAAAGATGGCTGCTCGTCCAGGGTGTAGTTAGAGGTAAAATAAAATTTATAGCATTTGAGGAATTTTGGTAACATTGATATGAAATTCTTACGTTATAACATATTCCTCTATGTTTACGAAAGCCTATAGGTGCCATGTTAAAAAAGCCTCGTTTGAAGTCTTTTATTTACAAAATTTGATTTTACATTTGCTTTTAATGTATGAACTTGTACACGTGTGTTTTTGTATAAGAAAGGTTTGGCTGCCACCACATATTTTTTGTGGACAATTATCTTTTTCTCAAGCGCCCGCAAGAAAAAAGTTTTTCTACGTGGCACCTACCAATATCTGTTTTTCCCGCGTGATGCAGTGATTAGAACGTCTGCTCTAGAGTCGCAGAGCAAGGAGTCAATCTTTCCGTCGAGGGTTCAAATACCACTGTGGGACGTGGAGACTGGTCCTTTGGATGAGACCGTATATACCGAGGTCCCGTGTTGCAGTAGGTGCTGGCACGAAAAAGATTCCCCACTGCTCGATGGTCCCGAGTGCCGAATTCTAGGAAAATCGTTGTAGCTCTCCACCTGCAAGTGGTCGCGTCTTCATATGAGTGAAAAATTCTCGAGAGGGGTTTTAAATAATATACAATCAATAAATCAACTATTTTTGTTCAATACCTTCCCTACTTGTTTACCTAATCCAAAACAATAAGGATTTAAAATGGATTTTTCGAAATTTTTTACCTCATGAACAATAAAGACTTTCGATAATGTTTCTTTTACAAAGATCATTATTTAAAATGCAGTTGTATCGTAGTTTAGTATGTATGATGTTAAGTCGTCTATTTACGATGGGAGAAATAAGAAGGGGGGGGTCTGCTGGTTTTCTATGCTTATTGTTTTTAAAGCTACTAAACGATTGGCTGTTTCTTGTGGTTATAGTTAAATTATTCCATTGGTTTATTGTATCAGGAAGGAACGATTTCACAAATATTTCAAGTCTACATCTACATGTAGGAATAGTGAATTCCTCTCTATTCCGTGAGCCTTAATTTGATTCAATACTTCTTGTTTAGGAAAATATACTTTTTAAATAATCAGGTTCCAAGTTAAGATGTACTTTAAACACAATATTAAGTTTGACTACTTTACGCCTATATGCAAGAGTTATCGACCCTGTTCTGTTTCTAAATATAATGTATCTTCATATGTTCTTCTATTGATTTGTCTTGGTAAAGCTCTTTGCCTTTGAAAATTGAATTGACTACATGATATTACTATGACAAGAATATGTCAAGTGACAGTGCTAAATCGTCTTATATAATTTGCAGTTAACAATGCAGAACAATGACATTCGAAATGGTCTGTGTCATTAGAACTGGTTGAACGTTCTCAAAAATTTTGAATGAATAGAAAGTAACATGCTTCTTTTTATCATAATGTGACAACAAAATATGCACTGATCCATTTGTGGCAACATTATATGCAAACTTAAAAGATATAATTCAGATTTAAAACAATTTAATATATCATGTCAATGTAAAGAACAGCCTTCACATTTTAACACGCATTTTGCTTTATTTCAGGCATTAAAAACCTATGGATAGGCGTCACAGATTTGCTTCAGAACCACAGTTTTGTGTATATTTCTAACGGTAATGATGTTCAAGAAGCTTACAACAACTGGGATAAAGGACAGCCCAACTCAGGGAACACAGAACATTGTGTTGCTCTCGCTGCTGGATACAAAGGATGGCATGATTATTCCTGTGACTTTAGTTTTATTTTGTGTGCAAGATACAAAAAAATTAATCTATAAATAATGTACTAAAAATTATCGCCATCCCGATTATGAATACAGTTTTAATTGCAAAATATTGTCGATATTTCCATTACGCACCTTAACTGTACTGCTCAATTAATTTGCATAAGCTTATCAAGATGATTTTTGATTTCATAAAACGTACATATTTGAAAAAAAAATTTTCATTCACAATATCATCAACTCTAATCTAGACTCCTGCCTTAATTGATTTTATATCCTAACCACTGACGGTTGAGGAAGACAGAGTCCCGAAAGAGCTTGGGCCAGTCATGCGAGTTTTTCATATACATCTGGGCCCTTCATTGCAAACATTAAGCGGATAGTCAAGCTGTACAACTCTTACATTCCTCTGTAAAACAGTGTTCATTTATTTAAAAGAAGCTTATATCTGGCCAGTTACTTCTCCCCTCCTGTTCACTTGTTTGCCCTAAAGCTCTGAGAAATGGCTTGTCTTGTTTAACAGAGAAAACACAACTCGTCGATATTTTTTTTTGTTTTAATTTTACAATCCATCTTTTCATTGACAACTATATACAATATAATAAATATTCCAATAAGCATTAAACACAATGAAATGTATTATCCTGTAAAGAAAATGAATCACCTGGAATTTAAGCTTTTATTAAAAATATGCGCAAGTTAATAAAAATATCCTACCTGTATAAATACAATAGAAAAGACGCAACTAGTCGGGATCTTTGACGGTGTACCTCCCTGCTGCATTTACACCATTCTATGAGTTAGAGTTCTGTCTTGTCCATATGTGTTATTTTCTCAAACTTTGCAACTACGAACATCAATTTGCCATTTGAAGTTTTTCTATCATTGCTGTGCCTATATTTATCCTTTTTACTTTTGAAATACATTTTATAATCCATATTAAGCTTTTTTTCAAAATATTTACTTTTTATGCTATGCAGCTTATCTATAGACATGCCTGACTTTTCGCCTGTTACGTTCAATTGGCTATCCCTTTTTCCATAATCAAAAAGGACTGGCGATAATCATGATTCACCACACTCACACAAACACCCTCACCGCATTTTTCAGATAAGAAATCTACCCAGCATCTGTTACTATTTTTATCTTATGCAAGAAACTAATTAAAAAATCCTCTCGTATATTATCGTTCCCCTCAAAACACCGATTCTGTTACCTATCTATTTTTATGCAATTGTTTAATGAAATGAAGACAATTTTATAGGATATATATAATTTTTTTTTTAGCAAGACAGTCTCTACGATCATTTCTTTAATAAAGAAATACGTATCTTACGTACGTGTGTTATAATTGTCACTCAATTTTTTCAAGATTGATGACTTGTGAATATAGAAGAATATTGATAATCTTGAATATGACTTGTGGTAACGTTGAATGATTACAATGCATACACTGATTCTGCGTAAGTGCGTTCGCATACAATGTTTAGTTATTTACTATCTAAAACAGTGGATAGACGCATTAAGGCATAAATAATCTGTACATATTCAATGGTTAAGGAATAATGATACAAACAAAAAATGGATGCCAGGATAGGTATATATTTTTCGGCTTAATTTCATTGCGAATGATGCAAAAAACAAATTTCTAGAATATAAAGAAATTTTAAATCTTCTGTGATGTTCAAAAGTCTGCCGTTCGACAACCAACCTTATTTACCTATGCAAATAATTTTCAGTTCAAATCTCGATTTTGTTAAATTCTGAATAAAATATTAAAAAAAAACTACACGGTGAAACATATTCATTTTACTCTTTTAAGCATTACCCAAGCTGTTATTCTCAAATTTTTGACATAAGTTCGTTTGTATCATCTGTCCTTAAATGAACAATTCTAATATAAGATAAATAAAATTAAAAACATGTTAAAAATAAAAATAGTAGCTGGTCAAGATTAAATCAGCCCATGTAAACACAAGTCAGAAAGAAAGCATATAAAGGTTCAGGTGTTAGAGAAGGAAGTCTCAGCATAAAATTGCTATTACTTCATTTTTCATTATATAACTTCCATCTTATCTTGTTCCATTAATATCATAACACAAATGTGCGTGTAATTTTACTCTATTTTCTTTTAATCATCATGTTCGATTCCTTAAGATTTTTCCCCTGACGAATGGTAGGATACCAAACAAAATTTACATGATCAACATAAAAAGGAGCATTAAGATTTGTCCATGTACAATAATCATACCACCAACCAGATCCGCATATTGCCCCGCATCTCTTCCCGTTGTCACGATCGAATGTGGAAAAGATCTGATCAACTACACTGTAACCTCTAAAGGCATCATCTACAAGAAATGTATAATGATATACATATATTCAATTAATAAATATGGAAAAAGACGTTACCTTAAAACCCCAAATCCAAGGGAATTGTGTACGCGGTTTAAAAAAAAGATATTTCTAAATCCGAGTTTTCTGTCTCAGCAAAGATTCTATTATTCGAGAACATATTATA